ACAAAAACACTTTTTCAATTAAAATTTTTTCAGTGAGATACAAGTTAGTATTACTTCTTAGTTTAATTGTATTTTTGATTTCATGTTATTTGCATGGATTTTCATTATTTTCGGTATATTTTGATATCTCTGTCAAATTTAATAATTTTTTATTTAGAATTTATATTTGTGTATATATATGTATGCTTTCAGATTATCTATTTTTTTATCTTGTTTAGTTTTTACATTTATGTTTGTCATTTTTTTTGTTCAATTTTGTCATGTTTGGTTTTGCACCTTGTGGTTTAGTGTTTTGCAGTTTTGGTTGTTCGTATAATCTTTACTTGATTTTTTTTCCCTTCTTGTTTCGGTTTTCTTTTTTCTTTCTTTTTTTTTTTCCTTATTTCATTCTTTTCTTTTGAAAAGGGTTGTATATAGTATGAGGTTGACTTAGTTAATAATGAGGTGGATATAGAAGGGGTGAACTTAGTAATTTGATAATAAGAAATTAAATAGGGTGAAAATAGAGATTTGTGGAGTGGAAATAGTTCCACCCATACTTTTTCTCATTTTTTTTAGATTGTATTAAAAGGTGGAATTACTAAATCCAATGGTCACATAAGTCCAAGTTTGGATCATGTTACAAGACCCGACTCTTGATGACCTTCATAGTACTGGTCCAATTTTAGAGTATCATCTACACCTGACACTTATTATATAAACTAATTTTATATAGCAAGTGGTATTAGTATAGACATTATTGCCACTAATATATATAATAATGGGTCTTCATCATTTTCAACTTAATATTATATATTAATCTCTTATCTAAGATTTCTATTGAAATAATGGACACACTATCTAAACCTAGATCCAAATATGACATAGTTGGAATAAGACAAAGCCATTAACCAATTATTTCCATAACTTTAAATTAGAATAAATTGTTCATTCTTATCTTATAGAATACTCGGATTAAATATGCTGCTAATGGCATATCAATTATTATGAATTTAAACAGGACTCATCATACATTAGAAATTTAGAATGTTGCTTATAACTATATGGTGAATGATTCTTAATTGACAAAATCTTGAATAAAATAAAATAAAATTACTAGAGAGGGTTTGCATCCCACAAGATTATGAAGCTGTTGGAATGACACATATGCTGCCTTGGATAGCCAGATTTGAGGTTGGGATCCAACTCCTCATCAACATCTTTACTGGTCATTGTATTAAGGAAAATGTTGTTTGGACTTAAAATACTGACTTGATTTGTTAACTTGATCAATCACAATCATTGAATAGGTAGTGGGTCCTAATAAATATTAGAACTCAGAGCTAAATCAATGACAATAATTGATCAAGTCAAAATTTTAAATCCATGTAGCAATGCTCCTATCTTTAAACATATAATCTAGCATTGAACGGGTGTGGTTTGTGCCATTTAATAGCCATGATGAAGCCAGTAAGTGTTGGTTGGTGGTGAGGCAGCATAGAAATGAGCCTTCTCTAATGGACTAAGGGCCTGTTTGGTATGAGGGTATGGGTGGGTACATAAAGATGGGTTTAAAAAATGGGTTTTAAGGGGACCAGTACCTTTTTTAGAAATTATAGTACAAAAAGTACCACTTTTAAAAATATTGGTCAAAAAGTACACAATCCATAACAAATGTCTAAAATTGCCCATTCGGAAGAAGGTGAATAGTCTCCTAAATTTTTCCCTCCAAAGCCGAAACAACGGAAATGGACTATTACCCATAACTCCTTCAATATTGCTAAAAATGTGGGCTCTTCAAAAATTGATGACATAACTTCCTAAAACATCCATTCTTTTCAAAACAGGATGTTCAAAATCAATTCTTTTTTTCTTTTTTTGTGTTCTTCGAATGAGTTTCTCTGTGAGTTAGTGAAAGGGCACTAGTGGACGGTGAAGAACAAATCAGTGAAGAAAAAGGGGCTTTCACTGTGGAGATAAAGGTATGTGAAAACTTCCTAAACCCTCTATTCCTTTCAAGACATTATGTTCAAAAATGGGTTTTTCGTTCAACTAGTTCTCATTTTTTTTTGATGTGTTCACTGTTCAATTTTGATGGGTTCACTTTAACAATGTTGAAAACTTCCATTCAAGACATGATGTTCAAAATGAGCTTTTCTTTCAACCCATTTTTAATTTTTTTTTATTTTATGTGTTCACTGTTCAATTTTGATGGGTTCATTTTAACAATGTTGAAAACTTCCGTTCAAGACATGATGTTCAAAATTGATTTTTCGTTCAACCCATTTTCAATTTTTTATTTTATTTTATGTGTTCACTGTTCAAAATGGTTTTTTTTTTTTTAAAAAAAAAAAAATTGGATTCGGTGTGAAATAGTGAAAGTCTCAGTTTGCAGATGGTGACGACCACACCATTTTGTAAACGGTGAATAAAAAGGCATACATTGGAGTGAGGAAGGATTGTTGAGATCATTGAATAGTGCTTGAAAAGAACTTGTCGACATTGGGGAAAGTAAACTTTGATAAATTATGGCGTTGAATCAATAATATCTCCAAGTTTTTTTGGTAATTTGATTGATTGTTACAACTGCTATTTATGATTAAATTGTTAAATTTCACAAGGAATATTACATTATGATTCAAGTAAATTTGAGTATTTGTAAATCCGCAAAATTTGTTATTTGACCAATAATGTAATAACAAACTAATTTCAACTATATGTCAAGGTCGACTTTGGTGTGTACGTTTGCTACATTATGAAACAATTGGCAACAGGAGAAGACGTAGAAGAGAATTTGACACAAAGACAAATAAAAGACTTTTGAAGTGAAATGCAGTCAATGTTTCTGAATTATCAAAATTCTTGGACAGAAGACGATTTCAAAACGAGACAAACATTGAAAGACAAATTTGTGGGTACATGATTAGTTCTTCAAACTTTTATTACACATTTGAAGTGTAAATGTGATTAGTGAACAGTGTCCTTGGGATTTTGATGTAATACTGGTAGTATTTATGTGACTTTGGGTTATGGCAATGTGGATTTGGATTCTAACAATGCAACTTTGGATTATAACAGTATGAAATTGCACTGTCAATGTTGTTAATTTGATTTGTAATAGTGGGATATTAAATTGTCACATTGGGATTTAATTTGTAGCAGTGTGACATTATGTAATTGACTGACAGCAGAATTATATTTATTTTGTATTAGTATGAAACTTTCGATGATATCAGTGTGTCATTGGTTGTATTAGTATCATTTGAAGGTTAAAATATGATGACATTGGTTTGAGTGAGAATGGCGTTTGGCTAGAAGCAATATGTCATTGGCTGATAGCAGTGTGACATTGATTGTTAACAGTATATTAATGTTTGATAACAGTGTGTGATTATCTATTTATCATGTTGATTTTGGGTTGCAGTAGTGTCTCATTGATTGATAACAGTGTGTCATTAGATGGTCTGACTATCTCATTGTATACTTCTATATTGAATGTGGGTTATATCAGTGTTACATTAGGTTCGTAACATTGTGACATTAGCAGCAAATTTTGTGGCGTGTTGTCACACTGTGACAAATACAAATGTACAACTGGAAAAAAAAAACATTACATGCATAGATAAGATATGAAGGATATTCCACATTTGCAAAAATCATCTTCAATTCTAACACAGTTCAACACACTCCATCTCTAAACAAACCCCAAGTTTGATAACCACATTGTTAATTTATTCTGTGTTCAAAGAAAAATAAACATAAAATAATACCAACTACATTGTCAATTATAACATTTAATCACAACGGTGCAAAGAGCATTACGAAACTGCAACACACCACACCTTTAAATTTATGTCCTACATGTTTGATTTCATTAATCCACCCAGATGTTAACAGAACTTTCTCGTTATGCTGACTATAACAAGGCAACAAATCATCTTTCGAATCAGAATCATCATTCAGATTATGCAAATCTTTAATTAAATTATCAAGAGCACCTCCATTTGAATCATCATCTTTTACGGTTATCCTCACAGGAACATGATTGACGTTAAGAGAATGTGACATGTCAAACATATTTTTTAAGTCTTCATCATTCTTCGAGAAACAATTTGGGATTTCGGAGAGTGAATACGACAACCGTACTGACAAATCCCGCAACAACTCCCATGTATCACACACTCGATTTAATACATCCTCAAACGGTGAATACCTTGAAACGCGGATAATTAACGACTCATTCTCATAAAAGCATAACAAAATGACCATATCCTCCATCAAATTTTTGTGAAAAAAAATAATGTGAAACATATATTCGTCATTACAATTTATTTTTTTCAAAAAAATTTACAATAGTGTGTAAGACATACCTGACACACGTCTTCTACTGCAAGTTTGTGGAAGATGTGTAAAAACCCGGTAACGGTATGGAATCAAAAGCGAACTTGTTAAAAAATATGTAATTAACTCAAGCAGACTAATATATGAATATTTAAATAAAATTTTTACAGACTATATAAAACATGGGTTAAGGAAGGGATAAGGAAATCGTCTGTTAAATGAATGAGGAAGAGGAAATTCAAAATTCAAAAATGATATATCATTAAAAAAGGAAAACTGAATTTAAAATATAACTGTCATATTTGCGTCCCATTAATAAAGGAAAATGACAATTTTGTAAGAAAAAAAATTAAGATTCAACAAAAGTGTACCTCCTCACCAAACATTTACACACAAAGGTACTTATACACAAATATTTTATATTAAGATACTTTTCCACATATAAGTATTACATAGTATACTTTTTCACAATTTTCCCTTAAAAAAAATAGTCCAATGAAGAGGGTTAACCTATGTTTGGATGCAGGCTTAAGGCCCGGTATTTAAATCCCTGCAACGCACAGGCCTCTAAAACACATGAACAAAGGTTTCACCAAAGGGAGGTGGGTCTGAAATCAGCCCAACTCGGATACGATGGTTAAAAGATATTTGTATCCCTAATAAAACCTCATATTTACCCAAATAAATCGCAACCGCCAAACCCTATAAACAATCAATTGCCAAGGACATCCAAACAAGCCCAAATCTTCGGAAATCTATGGGAAAGACTGGATTGGGAAAGGGGGAGGACGTTTGTCTTCTTCCTGGCAACGATCGAAGAAATCAACAGAGGAGTAGGGAGATTCGCGCAACATGGAGATCTCTGGGGAAGGGAAGAAGTTTGTCCTCTCCTCTACCACCGATTGAAGAGAAGCAAGGTATTGCAGAGAGATTCTTCACTGTCCAAGTCAATCACTGTTCGATCAAGCTTTGGTTGGGCTATAAAAAGCCCTCTTGTTCTTCGATTTTCTCCCCATCTAGCAAAGGTAAGTCAAAATATTTTTGCTTCGTCGCTCGTCTATTTTCTTCTCTTCTTCGCTAAATCGGAGGGCTGGGTTGGGGGTGGTCTGGAATGCACTGAAGTTTGGTTTCGGTTTTATTTTTTGTAATATCTTCGAGTTTTTTGTTCTCCATTTGTGAAATTTTGGCTGAATTTTTTTTGCAGTTTGGCATTTACATTGAGCATTTGTAAGGGAAATGACTGTACTGCTCCAGCAATTTGAGATTTGGAGGTTAGTGGAAAAAAATTATTAAATATGGTTTTTCATCGTAGTATGAGGGACATAGCAAAAATTTTATAGATTGAAAATAAAATTCCTTATGTATGTTTAACTAAAATAGGTCATAATATGATTTGAATATTGACAGCAAGATGAACTTCTTATAGGTAGCTTGGTTGTGAAGATTTACAGTTTTTAAACAAAATTTTAAGTACATGTAAAGATGGATTTTGATGGGTTAACCCCAAATAGTCCAATTTATGTGTTAAAGTCCAACCCCATTTGAGGAGCCCAACCTCATTGTGATTCTACCAAGCCCAAGACAATCCAAGACCGGTTAGACCTCTTTTTTAGCACGTCACCAAGACCAAGACGGTCCAAGGCCGGTTAGACTTCTTGCTTAGCACGTCACCAAGAGGAGAGCACGGGAAGTTTATCTACACCGCCAAAGGAAACAGCCCAAGGCCGGTTAGACTTCTTGCTTAGCACGTCACCAAGAGGAGAGTACGAGAAGTTTATCTGCACCGTCTTAAGGAGCCCAAAGCTGGTTAGACTTCTTGCTTAGCACGTCACCAAGAGGAGAGCACGGGAAGTTTATCTGCACCTCCTTAAGGAGCCCAAGGCCGGCTAGACTTCTTGCTTAGCACGTCACCAAGAGGAGAGCACGGAAAGTTTATCTGCACCACCGAAGGAAGAAAACGGTCCAATCATTGACCACGTTTCATGAAGAGCTCCCCAACCTCTTCCTTCCGTGGAGGATAAGTCGCGATCTCCACCAAAGATAATCTCTAAGCTGCGATAAAGAAGCCTTAAGGATATGTCATGATCTCCACAAGAATGATCTCTTAGCTACTATAAAATGGCTCTAATCTGGGAGAGGAAGGGGACATGCTCCATCAGAGACTTACAGAAGACGAACCGACTACCGGAGATTATTGTTTTTATTTGATTCTCCATTCCCCCTCTCAAAGCTTGTATCTCCGTTCTCCATACCTTTGAATCAATAAAATACCCGGCGACTGAAGCCATTGAAGAGTGGACGTAGGTCGAATTGACCGAACCACTATAAATTGTGTCTTCTCTAATTCTTTCGTTGATTTCATTGCATTTATTATCTATACTTGACAGGTGGTGTGCAAAACCATTTTTGTGCATCATCAGTTTGGCGCCGTCTGTGGGAATCGACAAAATTCTCACTCTTGAACATTACGTCCATTAATTAATGGCGATCACTACTCAATCCATGAACCAACACGAAGACAATCCTCCACGAGAGGAGGAGGTTGTTCCCCCGCCTACCAACCCTGTTCCGGATACCTTGGCCCCGAATCCCCAACAAATATTGGAGACCATGCAGCAACTGGTTGCTCAAAACCAACAGTTACTGCAACTCATACTTGCTGGACAAGGAGGAGTACCACACGGAGGTGCACAACATGGAGGACCCCAAGGTGGAGCACCACACGGAGGTGCACAACGTGGAGCACCATATGGAGGTGCACAACATGGAGGGCCCCACAGAGATGCACAATATAGAGCACCCCAAGGAGCTCCACATCCTGAACATCAAGGAGCACCACGCCCTGTTGCTCCACGCCCAGGTGCCCCATTGGGCACCCCACTTCAGGAAGCTCAACATGAGGGAGCTGCACCTCCCCCTCCTCTTGCTTTCCACAGAGTGACCCTTATCTCCAGGAGGATGAGGGTGAAAACCAAAGCATGGGCATGGAAGCCACTTCCATGATCATTCCATAGGAGCCCCCAATCATTGGGACGAGAAGATAAAGGAGGTACAGAATCAACTCGGTGATGTCTTCAACGCTATTAAGGCACAGGGACCCGAGACTGTTGACCACCTGGTAAGCCGTACTGATACCCCTTTCAAACTGATGTAGCAAACTACCCCCTCCCTCAGAAGTTCAAATGCCATCTGTGGAGACTTTTGATGGAACAAAGGATCCACTGGACCACCTCGACACTTACAAGACCTTGATGCAATTGCACAACGTACCAGACGAAATCATGTGTAGGGCGTTCCCAACCACATTAAAGGGTCTGCCCGAAGTGGTTTGTTAAGCTCTCCCCCGCCTCTATTACCCTCTTTTGCCGAGCTTAGCAGATCATTCGTCTCACACTTCATAGGAGGGCGTCGCCACCAGAAGCCAGTTACGCACCTGCTTAGTATAAAGCAGGACGCGAGGAGAGCCTGAGGAGTTACCTCACTCTCGTTTAAAACGAGGAGGTATTCCAAGTTGATGAACCTGACGACAAGGCGACGATGACCGCCTTCTTGGGTGGCCTCCGTTCATCAGTTTCCTTTTCTCAGTTCTGAAGTGCCCACCGAAGAGCATGCCAGAACTATTCACAAAGCTCAAGATATATGAATGCTGAGGAAATCACAAGTTTAGGCAAGGTGAATCATCTCACAGATCACCAGAAACTTGACCTGCTCTGCACTGTTCTCAACAGGCAGCCTATCTCCAGTTTAGCGGCTCTCTCACGGGTCGCCAAAAAAATTTGGCCTCTGCACTGTTCTCAAACAGGCAGCCTATCTCCAGTTTAGCGGTCTCTCACGATCGCCAAAACTTGGCTCTGCACTGTTCTCAAACAGCAGCCTATCTCCAGTTTAGCGTTCTCTCACGGATCGCCAAAAACTTGGCCTCTGCACTGTTTTCAACAGGCAGCCTATCTTCAGTTTAGCGTTCTCTCACGGATCGCCAAAAACTTGGCCTCTGCACTGTTTTCAAACAAGTAGCCTATCTCCATAGCGCGGTTCTCTCATGGATCGGCAAAAAAAAAAAAAAAAAAAAAAAAAAAAAATAAACTTGGCCTCTGTCACTGTTCTCAAACAGGCAGCCCATCTCCAGCTTAGCGGCTCTCTCACGGGTCACCAAAAAAAGCTCGGCCTCTGCACTGTTCTCAAACAGAAGCTTATACCTCAAGCTTAAGACTCCCTCATGGGTCGCCAAAAGCTAGGTCTCAAAAAGTGTAGCTCTCTCACGATCAGTTCTCCAACTCTGTCTTTGCTCTCGCGCGCAAGCAGCCTACTTCTCTCTCTCTCTCAGGTAATTATGTGAGATATTTTAATGTTTGAAATAACATTATTTTGTCATCACAAGTAGGTTCTCCCGAGCAGCCTCAGGCTCACCAAAGCGCCCAACACCTGGAGAAGGGGCTTGATCATCAAGAGCAGCACCCAAAAGGTTCCTTACTACTTGCAATGTCTAGCCCAATGCCTAGAAGTTGCCTGACTGCTGTTGCTCGTCAAAACAAAGTTGCCCAGTAGCTTGAAGGGTGTCTGACCCTTCAAATTGCGCAAAGCAGAATTTTTGGCATAAAAATCAGCACCTAAGACGCCCAAATCAGCACCTCGAGTGGGAATCGGATCAGCCCATGCTCCCAGGCCACTGCCTAGCTCTCCCTGACGAACCTTGGACTGATTTTCACAGCGCCCCTTGATGAAAAAATGCTGCTGC